GTTTAATATATCAAAACATTATTTATGCATTTGTAAAAATAGGCCTTTGTAAAGGTAAATAAAAATATGTAGATTTAAGTATGTAAAAGCTGATAGAACACGGATGAAAATATTGCTTCAGAATAAATTGTTTACACCACCAAAAATCTCGGTGATGCAGTGCTTTTGTGGGGATATTTTGCATGGAATATTGTCTGCTGATATGAAAAGTTAACTGTATATCGTAGTAATAAATATAATTTATTACAACAATGATATTTTGTTTTATTTTTAATTTATACACATTAAATACTACATATATGTTTGTAATAAAATGTGTATTTCCATTACAGGTTTAGGTCTTAAATTTCATATAAGGTGGTATTAAAAAGGTCTTAAAGAGTCTTACATTTAACTTGTTCATATCTGCAGAAACCCTGTTTTTCTAGGCTTTTATTTTGGCAGAAACCCGCAGGAAGATCTCAGTGCTTCTTTTTGTTGACAACAGCATGCAGATTTATAAATGATTCTCATTACGAATTTGGGAAGATGTTTGTCGCACGTATCACATTGTCACATGCCTTTAAAAAATTAACAAAAACGTTACTGAGCAACTGACGAGTAACAAGTTCAGCGCAGTTTTTCCTCGCGCTTTGGACTTTGAACCCTGGCGCCGTGAGCTCATGCAGCGCTGTCAGAATACATGCAATTCATGTGTGCGTTAGAAAATATAACATTCTGCAGTTTATTTACTAATCGTTTAAAAGGTAATTTTTGTGCGTGCATTAGAAAATATAACATTCTGCAGTTTATTTACTAATCGTTTAAAAGGTAATTTCGCAATTTCAATCATCATACAGTAACCTAAACACCAGCATTAGCCACCTCTTCTTCTCATCGGTGATATGTGATGCAGCACTAAACAGTCTCTCGCTGTCGGTGCTTGGTGCTTGTAATGATTTCTGCGTCTTTCTCTGATAGTTTTAAATACTTTAACACTGCCGACATGTTTGCTGCATTAGTGAGTGCCTCTATTTGATCGCGTTAGTCATTGTTCGGTACATATTATTTCGGTTGCCGAATATTCAGTGCATCCCTAGATAAGAACATAATAATCCACAAGTAATCCACATGACTCCTGTTCATCAGCTACACGTAAAAAAAAAAATTATTTGAATCCACCTTTTTAACTCAACCCTTGGTTCTGGAAAAAATTATCCATAATACTGCTTTCTCCAGTGTTGTCTCCTCTGAATCAGGAGTGAAATATGCACAGATTAAGCACTGTTTATATGTAAAAACAGGTTATTGGTGGATTTTGATGTGAGAGGACAAAAGGGGATTAACTTTCATTGGAGACTGCATTTATTATGGATTATAGACTTCCATTTTGGCCAGAAGGTTTAAAGGTAAAACGCCTTAATGATGTATTAGTTTCTTACTTTTTACTTCACGATATGCTAATTATTGAACTGGAGTTATGTAAATTACTTGTGGATTATTGCAACATTTTTGTCAGCTATTTAATAATCTCATTGATGAGATTAAGCACACTTTGGCCCAATCCCATTTCTACCCCTTAGCCCTTCCCCTTTCCGCGCAGGGGAATTCACGCGCATTCACGTGAAGGGGTAGGGGTGTCTCAATTCTCTTTTGGTTGGAGGGGTAAGGGTAAGGGCCAGATAGCCCTTCAAACAAAGATTTTTCGGGACCACACTTCAAACAAAGGGGTATGAAATGAATTATCTCAGCATAAACCGGTTTCAGCGGCAACATGGCTGCCCGAGCAAACAAAAAGATGCATAAATGTAAGCACTTTTGGCATTAATAAAGCATCCGTTTCGTGCGTTCACGTGAAGGGGTAGGGGTGTCTCGATTCTCTTTTGGTTGGAGGGGTAGGGGTAAGGGTAAGGGCCAGATAGCCCTTCAAACAAAGATTTTTCGGGACCACACTTCAAACAAAGGGGTATGAAATGAATTATCTCAGCATAAACCGGTTTCAGCGGCAACATGGCTGCCCGAGCAAACAAAAAGATGCATAAATGTAAGCACTTTTGGCATTAATAAAGATTTTAACGAAAAGTAATACAAATATTGCCAATTCGAGAGAGAGAGAGATGAAAGTTGCGTGTATATGTGCGTTTCTCTTTTTAGAGTGAGTTTAATTCAAAAACAGTGATTTTATCCTCTCGTTGCTGGAAAATATAATGTAGCGATTCAGTATTTAAACTGTTATTAATAAAAGTCGTTGGGCAGCGTTAACAAGTTTCTTTGCTCATGGATGTGTGAGCTGCGGAATCTCTGATGTGTGTGTGTGTGTGTGTGTGTGTGTGTGTGTCAGTAAGCAGCGCATTAATATAGAACGGTAATTAAAGGCTGTAATGCACACCAGTATAGGTGTGTGTATTGTAGGAGCTAGACGGACATATGATAACGTGTGACGTATAGTAGTGGTGTCCCAATTCTTAGGGGAATATTTTCACCCCTACCCCATGACACTCTGTTTCAAGGGGGAAGGGGTATAAAATAGAATTGGGATTGGGCCTTTGAAGTGGGGATCACACTGAGCATTTGACAACAGTTTTCTTTTTTTCTTTCCTCCAGGTCCATCGTAGGCCTCTTCAGCACTGCAGCGGAACATCGTAGTGCTGGTGATGACTGCCATGGTGACGATGGAGATGACGACCACAGTCACTCTGTGATGCATGTCAGGACCTTAGAGACGAGAACTAGAAAACTGGAAGAGCAGGTTCACGACCTCACCGTAAGTTCACATTTGGTACTGTTTTATCTCTTGTCCATCACCAACATGGTTCCACTGTGGGTTTCCAGCCTGTGTCTGTTCTCAAACCACTCTGTGCGTTTCCACTGCAAAAAGGGGGGTTCTGGGCTGGAAAGATCATTTCAACTCAAGTAGGGCTGTGTGATTTGGGGGAAAATATCAAATTGTGATTTTTTTGACAGATATTGCAATTGCGATTTGATTTGCGATTTTAAATTTGCAAAGTCAAGCTTCAGCTCAATATTGTCAATAATGTGCAGCACAGTATGGGTATCATTACCCTGCTGAAAAAAACAATAGAAACCATCACAGAAATTCTTATAGGTTCCATTAAACCATTACAAAATTCCTTTTTGTTTTGGGCATTATTCCAGTAGGAATTACTGTTGTTCTATTGGTTGCCATCTGCCAGATTACATCCCACCAATAGAATCCATCAAATAGACACCATTATAGTTTACATTAAAACCAATACCCGCATGGGGCAGAGAGGAGCGAGTATGAGAAGCATTCACAGACACAGGCTGTGTGTGCGCTCTTCTGAATTGGGAATAGCCAACATGCATTATAAACTTATTTCATGTGTAAGATAACGTTCACGTACTAACAAAAACATGTAAGAATGTATCTTTTATTTTCCAGTACTGAAAACAGAACTGATAAGGGAGCTTTTGATATGCGCTGTGACGCAGCTCTTGCAAATTACCTTGTTTGTTCATTGTCTGTCATTTCGAAGCTTAAATTGCATACGGTTTTCTTTAGTTTTAATTTGCCTAACTATCGATCTGACCCAGTAGATGCCATAATCCCACTCTGTCTCTCTCCCGTCCCGCGGTCCGGTGCTCTTTTTTTTTTTTTTTAATGGTGGGTGTTTACGCAGTTGGCTAGAACAGTGCTGATTGGGGAGAATGGAGGTGCGCTCACTCTTGCCCAGGGCAAGTAAGACTGCAACTCAAGGCTGGCAGTAATGCATATGCTCTGGAAGAGAGTAATATCGTGTCCACATCGCAGGCTTTGCGATTAGGAAATCGCAACGTCTCAAATCGCGATTTTGATTCGATTTCGATTAATCGCACAGCCCTAAACTCAAGCCCTAAAAATTTGCTGGTGGGTGGAGAAGTGCTAATACTGCCTATGGCATTCTTGAGCAATGTAATGATGCACTATTTCACTCTGTGCGAGACGTGCGAAAGAGCAAATTAATTTATACCTTCAGTTTCAATTTATCCCTTAAAAATAACAGATAAGAGTACCAGCAGTTTATGCAATCTGCCAGTATACTAGAATCACTTCAAGTACCAAAACAGAAGTGCTGAACTGCCCGCACAAACAGCAGGTCAAGCACTGTTTGTTTTTTGACTGTTTATAATCAGGTAAACAACACGTGCCAGCATTGCATCATCATTCGTTCCTCAAGCCAAGAACAGACTCTGGCTTCAGAATGTAAACCGTTCTGGTGGAAAAAGGGTATATGTAAGTTATTGTAGCTTTATAAGAAACCAAACACATTTATTGAAAACAACAACAACAACACCCATTTAGAGTTTAAATATATATTTATATGGTGTTCTGGAGTAAATGCAGCATTAATAAGGGATAATTATCAACTGCTACAGTGACCCGGTCAGTATTTGGTCATTTTGAGAGCATTTTCAATGGTCAGTAGGCCTGTCACGATAACAACTTTTTGTTGTGCGATATATTGCCCCAGAAATAATTGTGATAAGTGATATTATTTTAAAGACCATTTTATGCCACTGAATATATAATCATAATGTAACAGCATAATAATGCAAGATGGCCTGCACACTTCCAAATGACAACAAACTTTTAATTTTTAAGAATAATTAGATCAAAGAAATTAAGTATCAAAATATTAGATACCTTAACCCTCTGGGGTCCGAGGGTGTTTTGGGCCCTGGAAAAGTTTTGACATGCCCTGACATTTGTGCTTTTTTCAGTTGCTTACAAACATTTGAATGTCTAAAGTTTAATAACACTGTAATCAACACAAACTGGGCTACAATAATATGTGTGCAGCATGTATGTACGTGATTGTGTTTTTGAGAAAACAACGTTTATGCGTGCTTAGTGAAAAACTACCAAAACACGGTGACATTAATTTTTAAGTAAATATAATGTGCGATATATTGCGTCGCCAAAAATTATTGCGGTCATGTACATATATTGCGCGATAAGTCGATATATTGATTATTGCGACAGGCCTAATGGTCAGTTTCATTGACTTATTGATAATGCACCATTTTAGTGAATATTAAGAATGCATCGAAAACAAATACTTTGTAATTACACAGTTTTACTTAAAGGGATAGTTCACCCAAAAATGAAACTTGTCGTTCCAAACCCGTAAGACTTCCGTTCATCTTCGGAACACAAATTAAGATATTTTTGATGGAATCTGAGAGCTCTCTGACCCTCCCATAGACCGCAAGGGTCTGGAAACGTAGCAAGGAGATCGTTAAAATAATCCATGTGACATCAGTGGTTCAACCGTAATTTTATGAAGCTACGAGAATACTTTTTTATGCGCAAAGAAAACAAAAATAAAGATTTTATTCAACAATTCATCTCCTCCGTGTCACTCTATAGCGCCATTTTGGAGAGTATCACCTATTTTTGCAGAGGAGACGAGTTGTTGAATAAAAACGTTAATTTTAGCTTCTTAAAAATACGGTTGAACCACTGATGTCACATGGATTATTTTAACGATGTCCTTGCTACGTTTCTAGACCTTGATCATGTTAGGATCCTTGCTGTCTATGCAGGATCAGAGAGCGCTCAGATTCCATCAAAAATATCTTAATTTGTGTTCTGAAGATGAACGAAGGTCTTACAGGTGTGGAACGACATGAGGGTGAGTAATTAATGACAGAAGATTCATTTTTGGGTAAACTATCCCTTTAATTGCTATAATTAAATTATAATGGCCATTAGTTTTAATCAGTGTTATATTTGTAATTTGGTTGTTTTTGCTTTTTTCTTACGGTAATTATTACTCACTTTTTGTTCTTTTCACAGGAGAGATACAAACGAGCCCTAGCTGACTCTGACAATGTTAGAAGAAGAACACAGAAATTTGTTGAGGACGCCAAACTATTTGGTAACCTACTTTAATTTAGCTACACATTATAGCTGTTCGCATTGCATTATTAAAGCAGCATTCCATTAAACATTACGCTCCTCCTATAGGGATTCAGAGTTTCTGCCGTGACATTGTGGAGGTGGCAGACCTGTTAGAGAAGGTTGAGGAGGGAGATGGAGTACAGCAGCTGACACAATACATGGCACACATACAGGGACGGCTGCAGGATATCTTCACCAAGCATGGACTGGAGAAGATGAGCCCTGTGGGATCCACCTACGACCCATATCAGCATGAAATAGTCTGTCATACTCCAGCAGAGGGAGTGGAGTCTGGCACCATAGCTGTGGTGAAGCAAGACGGTTACATGCTGCATGGACGTACCATTCGCCATGCCCATGTGGGTATAGCTGTGAAGACACAGGAGCAGTGACAGGACCTTAGTTCAGTCCTGTCCCGCTTAGGTTTTTTTACACTCTCTCTCTCTTAGTATGTACGATACCATTTTTCTTACATCTCTAGATAACTACATGTTTGAATTACTCTTTGAAGTAATGGTTATTTATATGTCCATGCCCATGTGGGTATAGCTGTGAAGACACAGGAGCAGTGACAGGACCTTAGTTCAGTCCTGTCCCGCTTAGGTTTTTTTACACACTCTCTCTCTCTTAGTATGTACGATACCATTTTTCTTACATCTCTAGATAACTACATGTTTGACTTACTCTTTGAAGTAATGGTTATTTATATGTATTTATATATTTTTTTCCCTAACGTGTAATCTACACAATCAGGCTTTTTTTGTCATTTTTTTGTTTTAGTTTTGAACCCCCAATTTACAGAATGTCCAATGCCCATTTAATGTTTGGAAAGATTCATTATTGTCTTTTGTGTGTTAAAGACACTACATTTGTAGTGTAATAAGAATCGTAGTGTTAAATTGACCCGGAAAATGCACTTTACACCCTTGTCATGGTGGTTTATGTAAGTGATTAGTAGTTTTGGAGCTTAAGGGATAAAGCAGTAATGACTTTTATAAGAAAGTAACACTTTATAATAAGATTCTATATGTTTAACACTAGTTAATGAAGTAGGTATCATGAATTAACAATGAACAGCCATGTTTACAGCACTCTCTGATCTTGAGTAATGTTAATTTAAGAATATACTGTTCATTCTACTTTTTATTAGTTAGTTTTAACGTTAAACTAATGTAGGGTGACCATACATGCCATTTTCCCAGGACGCTTTTTTTGTCATTTTTTTGTTTTAGTTTTGAACCCCCAATTTACAGAATGTCCAATGCCCATTTAATGTTTGGAAAGATTCATTATTGTCTTTTGTGTGTTAAAGACACTACATTTGTAGTGTAATAAGAATCGTAGTGTTAAATTGACCCGGAAAATGCACTTTACACCCTTGTCATGGTGGTTTATGTAAGTGATTAGTAGTTTTGGAGCTTAAGGGATAAAGCAGTAATGACTTTTATAAGAAAGTAACACTTTATAATAAGATTCTATATGTTTAACACTAGTTAATGAAGTAGGTATCATGAATTAACAATGAACAGCCATGTTTACAGCACTCTCTGATCTTGAGTAATGTTCATTTAAGAATATACTGTTCATTCTACTTTTTATTAGTTAGTTTTAACGTTAAACTAATGTAGGGTGACCATACGTGCCATTTTCCCAGGACGCGTCCTGGCCAGGATTTCTATATTGCCTAAAATATCTAGGTTTTGGCTTTGTTTGCGTGTGCAGACCGATCGGTGTATGACATCAAAATACCATACAGACGGTTCCTTATGCTTTCAAAATGCTCTCGAGGTATTTTGATGTCAAACACCGATCAGTCTGCACACGCAAACAAAGCCAAAACCTAGACGCGTCCTGGGAAAATGGCACGTATGGTCACCCTAAACTAATGTTAATGCATAGAATGTTATTTTAACCTTACCAGAAAGTCTGTCTGTTCTGTTGTGAAATGTCAAGTAAGTGTTAAAGGCCACCAGTACCCAAAACAAATGCTAAAAGATTTCTCTTTTTGAGGGGAGAATTTTCACATGCATCCAAAGTGGAATTGAACTGAATGTTATTTGGGAGATAAAATGAACATAAAAAGTATTTATATGTATTTACTTCGTTTGTAATAGTTTTCCCTGATAGTTTTTTTTTGTTGTTTTTTTTTGGTAGCCGAGAAGAAAAACTGTAAGCTATTTTCTTTAAACTAAGGTTTTTACGGAAGTATTCTTTGTAAATGTTGCAGACGATTAGTTTTGAGTGTATGTGTGCGAGGCAGATGTTTTGACTGAATAAAATCTCATAATTTGTTCATTCTGTGCACAAGGGGTCACTGTTTACAAATGTTGCTCACAGTTCGTGCCGCGCGTGAAAAAAAAAAACACCGGAAGTACGGTTAGAGTTGCTGCACGTGTGTTCTCCAGCAACAGAAAAACCGCCCTCAAGTTTGTTCCACATATTGAAGCGAAACATGACGAAGGTAAAGAAGGAGAAAACTGTCGAAGAGGAGACCGGGGGAACAGAGAAATCCTATCAAGAATTAATAGCTAATGTAAACCCAATCGCAAACCCGCTTGCATCGCGTAAACTAAGCAAAAAGCTCTACAAGTGCGTCAAAAAAGGTAAAAATGTGTTTCAAAAACTTTTCTATAACTAAGCTATAGCACATTTGAATTGAATAAAATTTATTAAATATGGCTGTTCTATCGTTAAAGAAACAGCCACGTGGTTGCAGTCAGGTATTCATTATAAATGTTCTTAATTATTTTACAAAGCGGCTAAAATCAAACAGATCCGACGAGGAGTAAAAGAGGTACAGAAATTTCTCAACAAAGGAGAGAAGGGGTAAGGCGAGGTTTCTTTTCCTCATGTTTCAGCATCATTCAGTCCACATTAATGGTTGTTATTTTAACACGTTTTCTGTCATCTTGTAGTATTGTGGTGTTTGCTGGAGACACTCTTCCCATCGAAGTGTATTGCCACTTACCAATCATGTGTGAAGACCGAAACCTGCCCTATGCTTATGTGCCATCTAAAGTTGTAAGTTCATCAGAACGCTATACTAAATATTTCTAAATCAAATACAGTACAGTGTTACAATACTCATGTGTTTGTTTTCCCCTTCTGCAGGATTTGGGCTTATCAGCTGGATCGAAGCGTCCCACCTGTGTTATCATGGTCAAACCTCATGATGAATATAAAGAAGCCTATGATGAGTGTCTGGAGGAAGTCACATCTCTGCCCAAACCAATCTGAGGACACTTGAATGTTTTATTTGTATTTTTTAAAGAACGAGTGAATATATCAAATCAAGTTAGAATGGCTGTGAGTGACTTTGGATGGTGTTCATGTTCACCAGTGCATCTGTCATGTCATTTAGAGACTTAATTTGCAGAAAGAAGCACGAATGTATGATAGCAGTTAATGTGATGTTGTGTAAAGTTCATGTCACCGGACAGTGGATGGAGCTGTTGTTCAGCCTGTTGTGTTTCTCAATGTTTGACTCTTGATCTCCCTTATGCTTCATGTATTGATTGGTTTGCTTTTCATTTTTCATAACTGCTTTGGGGCAGTGGACCCCAGAGAGCTCCAAGAGATGTCAAAATAAACTTTTTCTCTTTTTTTTTTTGTACTGTCTCACATTATCTGGTTTCTTTGGTCTTGATAACTGGTTTTGCAATTTCTATTCATAAAGTCTGGCATGTTTAATTTGAAAATACAGTGCTATGAACTTGTAAAAATCAGATGGATTGCACAAAATAGAATGCATTCTGCATAGAATGTCATGCGATCTGCCTGCTGTCCATTACGTTTCCTTTATGTATATATTTTGCCTACTTTGTAGAGGCATTGTTTTCCTCTTATAAAAACTAGAATAATCTGCCCATAATGCAGTACATAAAGTCGGCTGTATAATGGACTGAAACAAAGTTGGGCAAACTAATGAAAAGGGAGCTCTACATAACAGTGGTTTTACCAACAATCCACATGGTGGCAGTATTGTCCTTCCATTCGAGGTTACTTCTAGTATTAGTATCCACCAACCCCTTTACACACTCCTCACTGAAGTTCATTGTTTGTATGCTCTATATTGTATCAAGACATAATAGATATACCTCATCATGCTCATATATTTACTTAAAGCTCATGACTGTAATAGAATATGATCATAAGTAGAGTAGGGCCTCTTTGTTTGGTGAAGCAACACAGTGCGTGTTAGGTGTTGAAACTGATAAACAGACTCCACTGCTTGTCTCTTTCCTCTCTAGGCCCAGATTCCTGGTGCTTGTTCAGGCTGTGTTGACATCTTAAATATTTAATACTGCAATGATCTTACTCCCATGATGTTTGTTGTTTTTTGGCACGTATTACTCCCAAATCATGTATAAAAGCACAAGAGTGGGGTTTTAGTCCCTCAGTTTGTCAAAACCTGAGAACTGGATGGTTGACGCTTCAGACTACTGCCACTGCTTCCATGATAAAGACATATAAAGACACCAGGCATGGAAGACATGGATAATACAGCTTCGTCTGCTTCACATTTCATCACTGTATTGGATTATACGTTTTTCTTGTCTTTTGAGACGATTAGTCCACCAGGTCTGAGGAGGTACTTGGAGGAACGTGTGTGCTGGAAGAACAACAATGATAAGCAATACTGAATTTTTTCTTTCACAGCCATTGTGGGAAATGCAAATGAATTCTGATTGTATTTTTAGAAATGTTTGGTGTTTTGGTGCCTGAGATACACACTGATGTTTATCAAAATTGTGTAATCGGACACAGGCATTGACTACTGAACTGCATATTCGTTCTTAATGGATAAAGATCTTGGCGGCAAAGAAACTGCATTAATGCATAGAGAAAAAATGGGACAAGGACATGCATATGTCCATCCTGTGAGCCACATTCCAGGCCACGTGTTAGCCTATTTACTCCCAACAGTGGGACGGGGTCTGACGTGAGTCACTTGTGTCCAGGGGGATGGTGACACAGCCAGTGCCACGAGTTTACCAAACAAGCTTTAAAGTTCAGCCATGTTTTAGTGTACACACTTCAAAGTGTGGCCAGTGTTTAATATGGGTGCTGGAGGATAAACAACCCAAAGGAATGGAAAAATAAATTCAAGTAATTAATTATTTTTGTTACAGTGATGTGAAATTGTTTGCATGCATTTTACCACCACTAATTAGGGGTGCTTGCTAAGGTAAGCTTTACTATTGCTGTTTGAACAAACCATAAGGCATAACTATTAAATTTCAGCACAAAACTCACTGTATAATGGACACAAGCGGTTCCTCAAGTCATGTGAGTTGCCGAGGAGAGGTGAGCTGTTACATTTCTATCTATGTGGTCATATTTACAATTTTCATGCAGTGGACAATAATTATTATTTTTTTTAACTTGAGCCATATCGAAGCAGAATATCATTGAGACTTTAGATTTGGAACACATAGCTGAAAAACAAAACAAAAAACTGAATGTCACTGAAACTTTAAAACAAAACAGAAATGTCATTGAGATTATAGATTTGAGGCACATAGCTGGAAAACAACAAAAACAAAAAACAACAAAACACAATATAATTGATTGAGACTGGAAGACGGAAACGAAACAAAACAAAGCAAAACAAAATGAAATGAAATATCATTAAGATTTTAGATTTGGAGCACATGGCTGGAAAACAAACAAACAAACAAAAAATTGAATACTGAGTCTTTAGATGTAGAGCACCCTGCTGGAAAAACAAAACAAAACAAAACAAAAAAACTGACTGTCATTGTAACTTTAAAACACAACAAAAACATAATTGAGATTTTAGATTTGTAGCATATAGCTGGAAAATAACAAAAACAAAAAAACAGAATATCATTGAGATTTTAAATGTGGAACACCCTGCTGGAAGAATGAAACAAGACTAAACAAAAAACAAAACATCAAGATTTTAGATTTGGAGCACTCTGCTGGAAAACAAAACAAAACAAAAACTCTTTTAAAGTTTTAATTGATCTTCATTAGCTGGTTTTAGAGGGATTTTAGGCACTTGTCAGCTGGACAGGTTGAAAGACCAGTTTAAACCACATAGCAACCAACCAAAACACCCTAGCAACCACATGGCAATATGCTAAAACCCACTCTGAACAACTTAGCAACCCATAGCGGCAGCCTTGCAACTACCCACAACACAATAGCATCGTATAGGTACATTTCAGTTATACATAAAGATGTTCGCACGATTATGTATTTAGATTTTTAGGATAATTAACACTTGTTCTAATGTCACAGCACAGAAAAAAGGCACTGTGATTTTAGGCCTCGTATGAGACGGCAATAACTGAAAGACAGACTTGTCTAACATTTCTTTCGTCTTTATCTCCCAAATCTCCACACATTTTCTTTTTCTTTTTTTTCTTCTATAATTTCTCTGTTGACATGTTTAACGTACGAAGTTGGCTGTTTGAGATGGAAATGCAGGAGGATGCAGGTCCCGGCTCATCTACTTTTCTCAGTATCTTAGCCGAAATGTCTTTTCCAGGGCTTGGCACTGTCCTTGCACATGTTTAGGGTGTCAACAATGCACATGCTGCCTGCCGTCCCCTCTCGAACACCAGCACGCGCCGCCGTGACACCCCCTCACCTCTCACCCACTTCACCCTGCTTCACCCTGCCAGCTCTAACCGGTTCATGTCGTGTATCGTTCTTATAAATCAACACGTCAGACTCACTGCTGTGTGTACAACTGTAGCATTACTGGAACTCTAGTTCTGCGCATGTTCCTGTGTGGCCCATCTTTCCTTCCCCTCTCTCTAAAGTCCGGGACAGTTTCTATTCCAGACAGGTGTTGGTGATAAAGCAGGTGTAGCAGGAGATTTACTGATTTCAGCGTATTCTGTTGAGCAATAATTCTGAGCCTGGGGCATGAGGCAGGTAACCCTCCGACCGCCTGCACCCGAGGAGTGACAGACAAGAGTAAATATATATATAGAGAGGAGAAACTTCAGGATAGAAATTCCATTTCCAGTTTCATTTATATTTAATATTTAGTTTCCAAATGAAATGACTACTTTCACTTCCTTTCAAAATATTGGGATTGTTAAGATTGTAGTCTCTGACACTCATTAAAGCATTCATTTGTTAAAAATGAAGTAAAATCAGTAATATTATGAAATCTTTTCTATTGTGATGTTTTGTGATGGCAAAGCTTAATAATTTGCATCAGGAATTCAGAAATCTAATATGCTGATTTGGTGCCATAGACACATTTCTTCTTATTATCAATGTTGAAAACTGATCGAAATCACTTTTGATCCGTTTGTAGAATATTAATGAAAGTATTAATTTCTTAAAAAAAAAGAATACAAATTTTACTAAGCCCAAACTTTTGAACAGTAGTGTATAAGTAGGCAGTGTATATTTTCATATACAGAAATATATATCTTAAAAATGAAATATGAATATATTATATTATATTTCCATAATAAATTATAATATATAAAGTAAATTTTATATGTATCTATAAAACATATATTTCCAACAGATTTAATATAAATTATATTATGTATGTTATGTAGAATTTGATATGGAGTTTTAATTTTAATTTATATATTATATAACCAAATTATATATAACTATTTATAATTTAATAATAATTTATTTATATTTAATTTATTTTATATATAATTTTAATATGTTTAGTAGTATTAAAAAAAGTTAAAAGAAAATAAAAAATATAAAAGAACAGTGTTACAATTTTGCCATACTAAAGTGAATTTATTATGTTTATTCAAAAGTTAACATCAAATATAAGACATAGTGTATATTATATTATATTATATTTACATGATAAAACATATAACGTATATTTCAAAAACATACATTTCCAACAGATTTAATATACATTCTATTAATATGTTAAATATGTAGAATTTAATATGGAGTTTTCATTATTATTACCTTTTATTTATATATTATGAAACAAAATGATACATAATTAATATGCATAATACTGTAAAATATGAACATTTATTCTTCTAGAAACCATGTCTCTACTGTCACTAAGTTGAATATTAATGAAAGTATTCTACCTAAAAGTATTAAAATAAAGTTTTAAATTTTACTAAGCCCAATCTTTTGAACAGTAGTTTATAGTCAGTATACATTTTCATATACAATAATATCTATCTTAAAAATACAAAAATATAATATTTATATTATATTTACATAATAAATTTAAATATATAAAGTACATTTTATATGTATCTATAAAACATATATTTCCAACAGATTTAATATAAATTATATTATGTATGCTATGTAGAATTTGACATGGAGTTTTTATTTACATTTTTATTTATATATTATATAACCAAATTATATAAAATTAATATACATAGTTCTGTAAAATATTAAAATGTATTTATATTTAATTTATTTTATATATAATTTTAATATGTTTAGTAGTATATAAAAAAGAAATATATAAAAGAACAGTGTTACAATTTTGCGATACTAAAGTGAATTTATTATGTTTTTTCAAAAGTTAACATCAAATATCTCAGGGACTTTGTTCATATGGGTTTTGTGAAAGAGGTCTAACTTCTCAGTTTAAGACATAGTGTTTGCGTAGAAAACTATTAAAGGGTTGTCTGTCGTGCTTAATTGCTCATTGTAGAGGCCAAAATATTTACATGAACCGTGAAGAGAGATGGACATATAATAGAAAGATCAGAGGGCAGTGAATTATAATGCTTGAGCGATTCGAAGCGTATCGTTTAGAGCACCAAGATGTCACGTCAGGCTTAAGATCACCAACTCTTTAAGATCTTCATAAAAAGCAGCAGCTTGACCTCCATTTGCATAACAGTGACATTTTTGTTCATG